ATTTATGTATGTCACTGTAACAACATTTGGAAAGTTTTGCATGCTTTCAGCTTTATACTGTTGGGAGTGTACTGCATGTATTCTTCTCTGTCATCTCCCTCACTTGTTGATGTATATAACTGGAACTGCAATTGTTAAATAATATGATAAGAATACTTTCAACATTACAAAAGAATTCTCAATTGAATGTTTGAACTTCTCCTACTAGCATTATGTAAAAGTTCCTTATTTTCTGTTCTACATCCTTACCAACATTAGGTATTCTCTGAATTTTTAAATCTTTGTTGATTCATGGTTGCTTTTCATTTCTCAGGTGCTGGTATTTTTCTAGTGACTTAAAAAAATCACTCTCACATTATTCACAGATAGTAAAATTTCCTCCTATTTCTATACTTACTGCTTATATGTTTATGACTAATAAATGCATATTTTCTGCTTAGATTTGCTGCTCTAAGCTTTCTATACATTTTTAATTGTTTCTTGACAACCTTACTCGGACACCTCACAATCAATGGGATTTAATTTTATCCCAAAGTGAAATCATTTCTCATCAGAATTATTCTTCTTTACCTTATGATCCCTAACTCAACAAATTGCACTACCAAGCATCATGTAACCATGTCAAAAACCTGGAAGTTGTATCTTTTTTCCCATTGATCCATTCAATTACCAAGTTATGCTTTTTTTGTCTATAGCTGATTTTTCTAATCCATTTAATTCTCTAAATGACTACTGTAAATATTCTATTTCCAGACATAAATGACTCTCAGACATCAGACAATTGTAATAAGGACAGTGCAGAGTACATCCTGGTAACAGATGTAGCCTACTCACCTCCTAGTGGGGGAAGGGGGGAAGCCCTGTTACTATTACAAATATGAAAGAACTGAGAAAAAGTGTTTAAAAAGAGCTTAACAAGTAAAGTTCAGGCTTGTCAAATTCACAACATTTAAAAATCACAATGAATTCTTATTTTGGGGGAACATAGTAATACATTTTATTATTTTTAACTTTACATATGCATTGCATTTTACACCATTTTTGAATGTGATGAATTGCTATTTCAAAACAAAAGTCTCTTTCTTTGAATCCAGAAAGATCTCAGTAATTATGCCTCCCTAACAACCTGAAACCACTCTTTAACTTCAATTCTTGTACTCCCTCTCATTCTTATTCCATGCTCTCCAAAGACACATCTGAATACAATTTATCTTCCCACATATATCTATTTTCAGGGAAAAGATGCACTAATCATACAAGAATATTCTTGTCTTCATATCAATGAATAATTTATGGTGGATTCTCACAATAAATTATTCATTGATATTCCATTTATACATTTGTCATACATATGACAAATGTATAAATATTTTATATATGTAATCATTCCTGAGAGAGATATAGATCCACTTATCCACTCTTGTTATGCTAACTGCATTATTCAGGGCATATAACACTAGCTATTTTAGCAATCAGATCCCCAAATCTTGGTGATTTACATCCAACTGAAGTTCATTACTTGGTTATGCAAAATCCATCAGGGAATTCAGCAGGTGATACAGATTCTTTCTCTGTGGTAGTTCTGATAAACTAAGGACTTCAGAGACTTCCGTGTATCATTTGAATTCATTAGACAATAAGGGGTTTGGGAGTGTGAATGACTGATTGCATGTAAGCGTTTTGATTTTTATTTAATTTATAATGAATTTATTTACTAAAAATAATTTATTTTTAATTTTTTAAGATTAAAAATAAGACAAATCAAATCTAGAACATTAAATTAGCATAAACTGCATCAGTTGCTGGCAAGAGTTATCTGGTTTGTATCAAGGAGAAAGGTGAATACATTTGGAGGACAGCTAGCCAGTGCCTGCAATAGTAGGAAAGCAGTGGGTTGGACCCTAAATTGTGTTCAGACAACCATCTCATATTTTCTTACATCATAATTTCCATTTAAACTTCAACCTCTATTTACATCCCTTGAGACTTGGGGATTATCTTTGTAGACCCACTATTTCCTTCAAAATAGTTCCTCAATGGATTTATACTCTACTACCTCTAAGTCCTTCATATCAAGTTATGTATCTGTGAGCTCAGTGTAGTCACTAATCGCTTGCTAAGTTATATTTTAAAGACTGTATTAGGAATGTATCATTTGCTATAAGTCATTCATTCAGAAAATGTTCTTATTATAGATATTTGTATCCACATAGTGGTGCCTACTTAGAAAAACAGGAAAGGATTAATAATTCAAACCCTAAAAAAAGGACCAGAATAACACTGTGGTAGAAGACTGAATTATTCAGCTTGGTTTCGACAATGATCAGATTCAAAGGATTTACCTATTACATTTTTCCTATGTTGACATTGTCCAACCCCTCATCAATTTTGACTCAATAAATATTTGCATATGTATAGATAAAGATTTTACTGGTTATTAGATTTGAAAGTAAATGAGATAATTTGGGCTGAATAACCCAGTGATTCCATTCTGAGAATAACACATGATTTCAATAAATCATACTACAAACCCTGAATGGTACAAAATTAATCTATGAGGATTTTTAGTGTTTCATGAAGTTTTTTTCTTCCTCTCCCCAGATAATTGTCTTAAGAAAATAGGCTTTTCAAAGATTTATCCATATTGTCACCAGAGTGATTTGCCTAATATATAAATTTTAATATATTACTATTCTTCATGGAACCTCTTAGTGGCTGTGTATTATGACAGGATGATAGGAGACCTCTATAATCCTATCTCCCTACAGTGCTTTTCATGCCATAATCCACCAATTGTACTGAATTATTTAGAGTCAGAACAGGACATTATGTTGAGTATCTCTGCTACTATTCATGTTGTTCTATAAACATTATTTTTTTTCCCCCTCTGGACTGTCTGGCTAATACCTACTGATATTTCACAGCTTAAATGCCACCATCTCAATGACTTTTTCTCTTTTCCCCCCACCCCCTCTTACATGTCTTGACAAATGTTTATCTTCATATATGTTCCCTACATATGTGTTCCTTGTTTTGAAATAATTTTCTGATCACAATTCTTCTAGACTATACACTATTAGAGGGAAAAAGAAGATCATTAATTTATCGTGTCTTATCTATAGTGATATTCCCAACACAGAATAGATGCTCAATTAAATTATTTACGAATCAAATCGAGCTAACAAAAATAGAATGTATCACAAGACATAGAAATACTGTCAAATGTTATAGTTTGTTGAAATCTGCATTTGATAAATAATGGAGATTTAAATAATGGAGATTCATATGCCTATTTCTTAAAATACATCTGTAGTCATAGTTTCAATTCTGATTTCTAGAATCCACCAGAATTCTTTACAAAGTCATTTTTGCACCAGGTTCCTGAGACAAAATTGTTCAAACCTTGAAACTATGATAGTTAAAATTCCTCCTCTTTAACCGGCATTACACCTCATACTATGAATTGATCCAGTCTTTTATTTTAGAATGTCAGAAAAAAAATAAGGTATATGCTATAACCAAGACTCATTACATGAAACAGGGAGAAAGGAAGATGCTTGACATGTTTTACTCCTTAGAAAAGGTCTATATTTATTCATGTTACTAGTAATGCATGACTTTTAAGAGTTTATGATTTCACAATTGCTACCACTGTCATGATAGTCTAGGTTATATTGCAGTAACAAGTTTACTCCCAAGCATCAATGACTTCACACATAAAGTGTGTTCTCCTTCATGCTAAATGTCCAACTCACAACCACCACGTCCTTGCTCCACACAGTCTCTCACGTACCCTAGCTGATTGATATTCCGCCAAGGGGAATATACTGACTGCAGAAACAAGGGAGGGAGGAGAGGGAATCATACATGGAGTCCTCAAACTATTTTCATATTCTTTGATGTAGAAGTGACATACTTACCTTCACTAACAACATTTGGCCACAGACAACGAAAGTAAGTAGGGAATATGAGAAATATAGGAAATAAATTTGGAACATTAATAACACTTCCACATTTACCAAAGAAGACTTCAACTTCTACTAGCCTGTGTTCTGCTGGGCCTCTTTAGACTATAGATTCTAAATAATTGCTTACTATATTCTGTTCTTATGCTATAAACTATCAAAACATGTATCTTCCTCAACTTATGATGGGAACATATTACAATGCTACAAGTGCCCTAATAAACCCATGAGAAGTTGAAAATATTATAAATGGAAATGCATTTAATACCTAAGTTACCAAACATCCAGTTAAGCTTAGTCTACCTTAAATATGCTCAGAACACTTACATTAGCTGTAGTTGGGCAAACTCATCAAACAAAAAATGTATTTCAAATGAAGTTTTGAATATCTCATGTAATTTATTGAATGGTGTACTGAAAGTGAAAAACAGAATGCCCTAATTGAAAATTTGAAGTGCATTCTAGTGAATGCAAGTCACTTTCACACCTTCATAAAGTCGGAAAATTTCAAGTCAAAGCATCGTTACTCAAGGATTGTACATACACAGAAATCTAATACAATAAAGGAAATACTGGACGTAGAGTCACAATATCTTTGTGAATCAAAATTTAATTAAAAAAAAAAGTTGAATAGGGCCTCCCTGGTGGCGCAAGGGGTTAAGCACAGCCCTGTGAAGCTGTTGCAGCCTCTCCAGCATGAGTTTGATCCCACATGGTGCAGCAGACTTCTCCTGACTCACCCACTGCACCTCTGGCCTGTACCCCAGTTCTTGTATGCATAAATAAATAGATCTTTAAAAAAATGTTGAACAAGTTCCATGAAATTTGGAAGAAGATTTACGATCCAGGCTGACTTGAGTTTTAACACACTTGAAGTAATTCGCGACAAGTAGTTTGACCACTAGAGGCCTCTGTATTCTCATTGGTAAAATGTGGTTACTTAATTTATTGGTGTTAAAGGAAGTAACATAAAGTTCCTAAAATAACAATGTAGAAATGCAACAAATACGTTATATTGACTGATGCCACACACACCTTTAATCATGTCTTCTCTTACTGCTTAAGCATTTCTTCAACCAAATGTGACAGTCTCCTTCAGTGAGAACAGGGAAAAGAGGTTCAGAAAAAGATAATACACACCGCCCAAGTGAATATATTACAATGCTCCACACAAGTGACCCAGTGGGGCACACATATGCTGCTTTTAGATTCTAGAGGAAAGTCATTAATTGGGAAGCACTGGAGATAAGCCCTGGAGATTAATTGGGAAGCACTGGAGATAAGAAGAAAGTCAGGAATACTTCAAAAGTAGAATAAGTACAGAAAGGAAAGAGTCATAGTAAATCATAACAGATCAAATTTCTGGAATACTAAATGTGATGGTATCTATGAAGTCTCCAGAAGGGTATTCTGACCTAGTGCTAGCACTGTATATGTAATACTTGATAATTTACTGTGTAACCCCCTGCACAAAATTTCTTGATAATTAATTAATTATATTAATTTTATTTATTGTCAAGTCTCTACTTCAGACTCCAGACATCATAGCAGTAGCACATGCATCCCTCTGGTATTTAATTCCAGGGAAATTTCTCTCCAAGCCCTTCAATATATAGTGCTAATGAAAAAGGCATGGTAGTCAAGACTCTGGACCATTTCAATATGAGACTCTTCACAAGTATACTGAGAGATCCATGATGAAGTAAATAGCTAAAAAGATATGTCAGCTACTCATTATTAAAGTAATCAGACAATCACATGGAAAGTTTGTACCACTGACTGAGAGGAGAAGAGTTGACCTAACAAGTACACTTATGTTGCATAAGAAATGCTTGATGTCCTTATTGTTGGAAGCATTTAGAAGGTTTTCGTTATTGGGAGAGTCTTCTGTTTCTATCCTTCCTCCTCCCTGAAAAACTCAAGTAATGATCCTCCTCTCTCTCATTCCTTGATTTTCCAACTAAAGACCCCTGCAACTTTATTATCATTAATGTCATTACTTCCCTTGACCCCCATCTAACAGACATACTTTCATTGCTGCGCACTCACTGTGTTCTTCCACCCCTTCCACTGGCATCATAAGTTGCTTAGTATGCAGATTCCTGATACCTGCACTGATACATTAGATTTTTTCAGTTTGTCCACAGACTTTTTTTTGGTAATACAAAGGTTTATTTTCCTTTTCTTTTTAGTTATACTCACAAAAATGTAATGGCAAACCAGAGCTGCTTGTCCTCCAATGTCTGATAACAGTCATATTACACCATTATTATATTTTTGTTTATAGGTCTCCCCACCTCTATATTACTACTCAGACAACTTATTGGTTGGGAACTGGGTAAACAAAATACAATTTTTAATTTTTTTTTCTTTCAAAGACACTCCTGTCAGTTTAGTTCTCATCCATAGCTTAGGCATGTAAGGTGGCAGACACAATATGGACTCAAAGTGCGACCTTTGTCATTTACTCAAAAAACATGAAAATGTGAACTATACTTGGTAACTTGCTTAGCAGATAGAGGGTGAAAAAAATATTGACTTTACATTTAAGGAAACTGGTAAACATCACTTTAAACAAGTGATCAGTTTCAACTAATCAGCAGTACGTAATGTTGATACTAGATTTTCCAACTTGATGTAATAAAAGAGCACTTTAGTTTCATGATACATCCCCCCCAATCAATAAACCGAATATAGTTATAAAAAAACATTTAAAAAAAATGAAAAATAGGGTCACTTTACAAATAACTGACCACTACTAAAATGAATTGAGGACATTAAACAACAACAACAACAACAAGGCTAGACTAAAACTGCCATAGACTGAGGAGACTTGATAACTAAATATAGTATCTGAGGTCATATCTTGAACCAAAGGGTACTGGAAAATTACAAATACAGTACTTTGTTTATATATTATTACTGTACCAGAATTTAAAATTTATTAGTTTCAATAAATATACCATGGTTTTGTATGATGTAAAATTAGGGGAAACTGGATTATTTGTCTTTAAACTCTCCTATAAACCTAAATGTATTTAAAATAAAAACACTTTCTAAAAAAATAAAGCACGTAGCTCCTACTACAATGCAAAAATCTCACAGGAATACACCCTCACCTAGACTCTCCTCGACCTGCTACCAAGAACTATATTTTTAAGAACCGTATTTTTTGAGATGGAATGACACATTTTGCTCCAAAAGAGAATCTAATGTGTTCTTGATGGTTTATTCTGAAGACAATCACTCTTGGTCTAGTCAACCTTCAAGTCATTGTTGGAAGAAACTTATCAAGTACTCAGTGTCTCAACTTGAATCAGAACTTGAAGGTTAAAAAAAACAGTGATATATTTGGGTGAAGACATTTTCTGATGAGATGAGCATAAATAACTTGATTCGTAACGTTGAAATCTTGTTAAATTTTAAGTTAGATATTCACTAGAGGTTGGTTGTCTTGAATTATATAATTCTGGATTTGATACTGCCAGTCCTTTTTATAAAACAGAATAGTTCAACAGTAAATATTAAATTTAAAATATGAGAAAAAGTGCTCTTTAAAGACAAAAAATACTTTAAAAAATTCTTGTTACGTGTTCTGTAACCTACTACAATGCAAATGGTGAAGGATGTCAAGTTTTAATACAAAATCTGATGCCCCCAGTCAACACTAACAAAAATCTGAAATTCAATTTGCCCTGAGGGTCTTTAATGTGGAAGAATTGTGGTGATGTAGCACTTTATGCCTTCTATTTCTTCCAAGAGCTGAAATATCTTCGAAGAAATGTTGTGTGCATACTGGAGGATTTCATTACACTTCTTTGGAATGAAACAGGGTCAAGATTTTCACTCCAGTGGTCTACCTACTAAAATAACAAATGCCATATCCCTTTGACATTCCTTTCCTTTAAAATCAATCATGCTGTGTTTGCTCTCTTCTCCAAACTGCAAAAGCAGATTAATGCTGCAATTATCTGTATTAGTAATTGAATGACTCTGATGGTAAACCTCAGAGACATATTGATTTCCCAGCTTTCTAAATAAATACCCCCTTTCTCACCAATTTCAAGTAAATAGCTGCCTTCTACCCTAGGTATTTAATAACAAAGTGGTCTTTTAGTCAAGAACTGAGGAAGACCATGTGGGTATACACTAACCTTAGACTTTCCCTGTTAGTTCTTTTCCTTTGTTACTTCTATATTTCTTCTGGGTTGTTTGTTTGATTAATTATATAAACTTCACACTCTCTACCATATGATGTTTGACACAATGAGATATCCTTTTCTTTTCTGCTTCCACCTCTGCATTCAGAGCTTGCATACTCAGACTGGTGATACAACTAAGTATTTCACATCAAGCTGTATGTACAATTAATAAGTAGGGTGGCTATATATCATGTAAATGAGGGCCCTTTTGAGATTGAATGTGGGCACTAGGACAAGGGGCATAAAGTAACATTGCCCAAAAGAGTTGAACATGTTATCAGACAATAGTAGATAAAACTTGATTGTGATTTTTTTCCATTAAGAAAAAAGAAAGTTTAATAGGGCAAAATCTTACATAAAATACAATAATTTCTCATCATCACTATATTTTACATAGCGAACAGTATATATGGGATTTTGATAAAAAGGGAAGTCTTCCCTGAACTTGTAGTACATGGTGTCTATTTTCCATCTCAGATTCTTTGTATGGACTAGCACAATAAAGAAAGTGATCTGGTGTCTCAGAAGTGTAACTCACCCTCCATCTTTTAAGAAACACTAGTAATATGGCTAGTAATAGATGTAATAAAAATGCTTGAATATGCACAGTGCTTTAAAAATTTTAAGTAGTTCAATAACTATTCTATTACTTAAACTACGTAAGAACCCTATTGCACAAGTGCATTAACATCACTTCCTCTGTAAATGAGAACATTAGTCACATTAGTCACAACTCAAGCCTAGATTGCCATTTATTTCTCTTTTAGTCATTCAAATAAAAATATATGGAGTACCTCTATTCTCCCAGGTCAGATTCTGTGCTGGATATTGAGATGAAGATGATACAGTTGCTTCTTTCAAGTTGCTTGTTTTCTAAAGGACAGAGACAGACAGGTATTAATAGATATGAGTTAATTTTTTTCTACAACCAGTACACTTTTCTTAACTTTTTAAGATTTATTTTATTTATTTATTTATATATACAAGAGCTGGAATGTAGGCCAGAGGTGTAGGGGGTGGGGTGACAGGATTCATCAGAGATAGAGTGGGGAGCAGAACAGGCAGATCTACTGAAATACACTGCTGAGGGGAGCAGCAGGCGAGACAGGAGAGGTTTGCTGCACCATGGGCTTAGCTCCCTGACAGGGGATCTAACTCATGCTGCAGTGGCTGCCCATTGCTTCATAGTGCTAAGACTTAACCCCTTGAGCCACCAGGGAGGCCCCCAACCAGTACACTTTGTATTAAAACACAGCAACCTAATTCTACTTCAACTCCACTTAGAATAGCTGCCCATACTTTTCAATGGCTTCATACAAAACTTTTGAAACTTTCTGACACAATATTTTCTTCTTTTTTTTTGTTAACTCTTGTGTTGTTCCCTGTGAAATTGGGAGCGAGAATCTTTGTATGGACTAGCACAATAAAGAAAGTGATGTGGTGTCTCAGAATGTAACTCACCAAAAAAGAGTAAGGGCATAAGTGGGATGCATTTTGTGACCTTAGAAAGTCAATGGATCAACACAAGTAAGTTAGATTACATCATAAGAAACAAACAAACAAACAAACAAAAAACAGGTGGTTCAGTAGTGAGCTAAAGTATTTTCATGATGATTTCAGAAAGTGCCATTTTTTACCTTGGTGCTAAATGGACAAATTGGTTTAAAGATATCACAACTTCTATAAGCAGTGAACCACAGGAAAGTGCTCAAAATAATCTTAGTCTTTCATATTTAGAGTGAGAACTCATATCACTGATATCACCTGGGAGTTTGTGACAAATGCAGCTCTCAGGACAAGCCCAGAACTATACAATCAGAATCTGCAATTTATTTATTTATTTTTTAATTTTATTTTTATATTCCCCAAACAATCGCAACCCCTTTATTTTGACCCCAATCCCTCCCCACCGCCCCCCTCCCCTCATAAAGTGTCTCTGGTTCATAGTTGTTTGTTGATTATGATTTTCACTTTCTTATAGATATTCATTTTCCTGGTCCTTTATTTAAGTTTTCTAGATTCCTGCTATGAGTGAGACCATCTGATATTTTTCTTTTTCTTTCTGGCTTATTTCGCTGAGCATGATCCCTTCCAGCACCATCCATGTTGCTGCAAATTGCATGTGTTTATCTTTTTTGAATGCTGAGTAATATTCCATGGTGTATATGTACCACATCTTCTTGATCCAGTCATCTATTTTTGGGCATTTGGGTTGATTCCAAAGCTTAGCTATTGTAAATAGTGCTGCTATAAACATAGGGGTGCAGGTGCTCTTTGGAATTGATGTGTCTGTGTCCTTTGGGTAAATACCTAGGAGTGGAATTGCTGGATCATATGGAAGCTCTATGTTTAGTAGGTCCAGAAATCTCCACACAGCTCTCCATAGTGGTTGGACCAGTTTGCACTCCCACCAACAGTGCAGAAGAGTTCCTTTTTCTCTACAAACTCGCCAACATTTGTTGTTGCTAGTTTTTTTAATATGTGCCATTCTCACTTGTGTTAGATGGTATCTCATGGTAGTTTTGATTTGCATTTCCCTGATTACGAATGATGGTGAACATTTTTTCATATGCCTGTTGGCCATTTTTATTTCCTCTTCAGAGAAGTTTCTTTTTAGCTCTTCTGCCCATTTTTTGACAGGATTATTTTCTTTGTTGTTGTTGAGTCTCATCAGCTCTTTGCCGATTTTTGTGATCAGTCCTTTATCATTAGTGTTGTGTGCAAAAATGTTCTCCCAGTTGGTGGGGTTTCTCTTAGTTTTTGTTATTGTCTCTTTTGCTGTGCAGAAGCTCTTTAATTTGATGTAGTCCCAGCTGTTTATCTTTGCCTTCACTATCACTGCTTTGGGTGATGTGTCTGTAAAGATGTCTTTGATGTGCATATCCCGTAGTGTTTCGCCTATATTTCCTTCTATGTATTTTATGGTTTCAGGTCTTATGTCTAGTTCTTTAATCCATTTTGAGTTGGTTTTTGTGTATGGTGTGAGGTAGTAGTCAAGCTTCATTCTTTTGCATGTAGCGACCCAGTTTTCCCAGCACCATTTATTGAACAAACTTTCTTTGCTCCAATGCATATTCTTTGCTCCTTTGTCAAATATTAGTTGACCATAAATCTGTGGGTTCAAACTATACTACAAAGCCATAATCATCAAAACTGCATGGTATTGGAACAAGAACAGACACACAGACCAATGGAATCAAATAGAAAATCCAGAAAGAATCTGCAATTTAGCAAGATGCCCCAGTGAGTCCTACACATACTGAAGTTTAAGGAATACTTGTATGATGGGATTATTAAATGATGTATCTCAGACCATATTTCAAGAGTTGCAAATTTTGACACAAGCTCTGCTGTAAATTCATCCCAGGGCTACACTACATAGTTACTTAAATAGGAAGATGTTTGTATCTCCAGCCAAAACAAAGAAGTGCTTCCAAATGGTTTACCAGATCTCTGAGTACAATGTGTAATTGCCATGTTCTGGTTTGATGGGTACCAGTGGTTGTCTGACCTCCATCCCATCTAGTACAGACTACAGTCTCTCTTCCACATGCTCATTTCCAGTGGGTGAGGCAGATGAGATGATTTGCTGTTCTAGTCTGACAGACATTGAAGCTCTTTTTTCTCATGTTCTTGCTGTTTCACCAGGGGCAACACATTAGCTAGGTTATGCCTTGGAAGCCCCATACTTTAAAACTTTTAGTAATAGGGAAAGGTAAGTGGGACTATTTTGTTGCAGCTTTATTGTTTGGTTGAGTAAAAAGGACATCCTCTGAGAACCTGACAGATGGCAATATTTAAGAAAATTACTCACAGGAAGGGATTTAAGGTCAATGACTTCTTAGGACACTAAAATTTTATGATTCTCCAAAAGCAGCATTGTGTAAAGAACAAGATTATGAAATTAGTCTGGGATTTGATTCTCTGTTTTTACCTTATGAGCTATATGACTGCAAGCAAGTTATTTAACACCTTCAAGTTTCTATTTTCTCATCTATAAGATGGAGATAATTATACTTACCTTGAAGGAGAGGTGTAAGATATAATAGATGATGTATACGGACCACCTAGCATAATGTTTCCTCCCTGTTTATCCCTTTATAAATGTTAGATCTCTTCATTTATTGTCATCCTATTTCTCTAAACTGATAAAAGTGTAGAGGAAAAGCCATTTGAGCTGTTTATTTTCTTATTATATCATCTTGGAAAGCACAAACATCCAGGGAAAAGAAATTACATAAATGGAATGAATATTACATTTTAAACATGATGATATCATATATTCAAACAACAGCATTAGGATCTTATTAAGCTAGAGCTTATTATAGTACTATCCTTAAGTTCTATGCTATGAAAATACCTAATATGCTATCTTATGAGGTCTCAAAACAGTTCCAGACACATTTGCAAAATATACAACATTTATTTCCATGCCACCATCTACTTTGAACCTTCTCTTTCCTGTGTGGGCATCACAGACAGTAATCCTCTCTCTATCATTGCTTCCATCCTTGCCTCTCTGCCATAAACACATGTCATGCTCCAGAATCTTTTCCATTACCTTTTCTCTATCAAAAGTAATTATCCTGTGACCCCTTATGTAACATTGTTTTCAGTTATAAAGATAATAAAATAATTCCTATGAATAGTAATAAACAAAGGACATCTTTAAATTTACCTAAATAGGTATTGTATATATATATTTTAGAACAGATTTCTGGAGGTGCTATTTCAGCTGCCAGAGGAGACTTAAATACAGTTAATATTAGGTACAATGGCGTGAGGGTAAAAGAGAAAGCTTCAGAGGAGTTTAGCTCTTCCTCTGATCATGCACTGCTTATGTGCAGGGTGTGCCTATATGACTCAATATTTATTGATGCAATATTTAAATATGTTTGTATCTGTAATTATGTCTTAAGCCAAAGAGCCAAATACTTCACAGTACTCATAAATATGTACGTTCATCAATTATTTCTCCACAAGAAATATTCTTCATGATTAAAGAGACAAAATCAAATTGCTTTTTAAAGAGGTTTCAAACATGAAATAACATAGTAAATATTATAGTAGGCATAATATTTAGAAGAAATTATGAGTTTTGTTCATAGGAAAAGAAAAATTTCAAGTTAGAAAGAACTAGACCTAAGAGGGTTCTTGAGTGTGGGGCTACTTATGTCAAAATGTAATAAATTTTTTTCTTACCAAATGTATACCACAGGATGGATATATAATGAGTTTGGAGTAGAAATATAGTTTATATTTCATAAAAAGTAGCACTATGTTCCCATTATTGGCCTCTTATTTCATTCTATTTATGAATGAGGCAGCAAAGGGTCTTCTAAAACTCCATATGCAGCTGTTACTGTCATTACTTTTGGAACTACTTTGGGATGAGAGGTCCTTTAACTATTTATGGAATTTGGACAAAGCCAATAATCTATAGAGGTAGTCACAATAATAACTCAATTCTGAGCATTTTGAGTTAATAATGGCCTCTAAGCAATGCCACTAAATCTTCCTAAAGAGATGTTCCTGTTGAAATCACTGCAAGGATCAGTTTATCATCAGTTTCTGTTGTTTGAATGAGTGATTCAAGTTCACTAACACCATCATTATTCCTGCATCTTTCACAGATATACTGTATACCAACTTCATTGTTGCTTACAGAGCAGCTGGCACACTTCTGGTTGTATCTGATCAAAACATTGCCAACCTTCCAATACTTCAGGCACCAAATCCTTGCAATGAACTCTGTGTTTTGTTCCTTAAGAAGGATAAACATTATATATTCCACATAGAGTGCATCTACTAAAGTTAACTCTCCACTAGCTATAACTCTTCTTGGGAACCCCATTTATAAGAATAAACTACTTAAGAGTACGAGTTTTATTGATTCATATTAAAATAAATTATTTTTAGCAAAAGATTCATAGATAGCATTGTTTTTCCCAGAACACATGAAAATTATATCAGTTTTCTGCTTCTCAATGACTTTAATAAGTTGATTTCATTGGAGATAGCAAGGCAAAACTTTTACAATTTAAGTTTCTGGCAAGAGGTCTTGGATAGTAAGCATATTTACTAAATAGTATACAGTGTATTGGTGAAAGATATAGTAAGAGTGATGCCTTTGGTGAACTTGATCTAAAGAGAAATATGATATATCTGATGTTCAGTAGTATAAGCAGGCTTATCAAAGAGCTACTGAATATGAAAAACTTCACTTCTAAATTCCGTCTTTACTCAGATCAAGCCCCTATTCCAATCATAGCTTGAGTATGGGCATCAAAAATACTAAGCAGGCGTAAAGATACCACATAATCTTGTTCACTCCTCATATAACAGACACTCAACTCAAAAACATGATTAAGAGATTTTAATGCATATCATGGTTTTAATCATAATTCATCTACTTATTAACAAAACAAATGTCTGTTGACTACCTTGTGCAATTTAGAATCAAAGGAGAACAGTCCCTTTCACAGTCTTCTGGGAGAAACAGATAATCATGTGATTATAAAACAGTGAAACAGCTGGTAGTAAAAAGCAAATCAGAAGGTGAGTAACAATCCACAGAAAACATTCACCATAGATTAGAACATGTAGGTATATTCAGAAAAAAAAAAGTACTACGAGTTCAATTGGGTCTGATTTTCTGGAAGGATGATGATAATAACGACTAATCGCTAGCGAGAATTTCATTTATGCCACACACTGAGCTATGTACTTTATTTTTTTTTTAAAGATTTTATTTATTTATTTATTTACACTAGAGCTGGGGTACAGGCCAGAGGCACAGGAGGGTGAGAGAATTCACCAGAGACAGAGCAGGGAGCAGAACAGACAGAAGGACTGAAGCATGCTGCTGAGGGAAGCAGTGACGAGGCGGGAGAGGTCTGCTGCACCATGTGGGAATCTCCCTGGCAGGCCAGGAACCGAACTGGCGCTGCAGAGGCTGCGGACAGCTTCACAGTGCTGCACTCAACCTGCTGTGCCACTGAGGAGGCCCATGAGCTATGTACTTTAAATGTGTGATCCTTAGCCATGCAAATACCCTTAAGAAAGTATTATTACTAGCTCTATTTTAATAGTGCTTAAAAAGTACTTTAACAAAGTAAAATGGAATAACAATAATAGTGGCCAACATATATTGAGTACGTTTCAAGTACCTAGCACTATTTTAAGTCATTAGATATGTTAAATAATTTATTTCTTACTATTAGTGTCTATGGTTTTTCTCATTTTACAAGTATTATGAGCTGAATTGTGTCCCTTCCCAAATTATGTTGCAACTGTAAACCCCAGTATCTTAGAAGGTGACTGTATTTGAACTATACAAAGGCTTTAAAGAGGCAACTGAATTAAAATGAGACTCTTAGTGTAGGTCTTAATCCAATATAATGTCCTCATAAGAGGAAAGCCGTACATAAAGAGACACTCCTGGGCACATGCCCAGAGAAGACAGCCCAAGAAGGATACAGTGAGAAGGTGATAATCAACAAGCCAAGGGGAGTGGCTTCAGAAGATACCAAACCTGATGACCCCTTGATCAGGGACTTCTAGTCTCTAGAAGTGTGAGAAAATTAATTTCTGTTCTTTAAACCAACCTCTCTGTGGAATTGTGTTTTGTCAGTGCCAACACACCATAGCAACAGGCGATTAAGTAGTGGCACAGCGAAGTGGCATGTGCAGCTTACATGGTTAGTAGCCTATGCACAGAACATACACAGTGTGGATGCACAACAGCTGGGATTCAAATGATGGCAGTTTGGTACATTCTTTAATCTCTTCACAATAAAGCTTCTTATGATAGAAGTGGAAACTGAGGTAGCAAGTGGTTAGTCACATCTCCCAGATGGCACATCCACATAATGGTAGAGCCAAGATTCAAACTCAGGTCTGTTTCCTCTGAATTAAATTAAAATATTTTTCCTGATTCCTCAGATAGCCAGTTTAGTTAAAAGCTGCATTTCACTTAGTTTCAAATTTCTTGTGAATGAGGGTCGAAGAAATGCCAGCTTTGACACATACATACAAGCTACTAAGTTAATTTCCATGGATGAAAGATGGCAAAATTTTGAAAAGGAGCTCTGAGTCACTTAAGGCATTAGTGTCACATTCTGCATCAACTTCTAATAGCCCCTGGTAAGTCATACATCATACCGTTCTTTATAATATCAATTTAAACATAAATTTTGTTTGTAGTGCTGTTGTTGAAAACCTTTTAGGCCTTCAATAGCTACCAGACGAACCATTATAAATATATGCCCTTAATTATAAAGGGTTTCTCAGGAGGCCAAGTCTTCACACATTTTAGTTAATGACAGAAGGATTCGAAACTTTGCCCTGGATTGATTATCACTTATGCAATGACTTACAGATGACATCTTTTCTGGTGCAAACTACTTTAAAATCTCTGACTCCATTCTAGGCCACATGAGGGAAAAAGTGCACCCATTCTAAGAATTAGGAAAAAAGAAACCTTGAAGGTGCTAAGCTAACTTCTCCAGTTCAAAATTCTTCCCATAATGCTGTGTATTAAACTTCTCAAGTTTAAATAAATTCCTTTTAATGCAATGAGTAATACTGAGCATTACTAAATCAACAACATTCTTCCTTAGAAGAAACTGGTACTATTACTTAATATCAATACTACCAAGATTAAACATTTTGACAAAGCACCATATTAAAGACTGTTAGTACTTTCCCTTCTAGCTCATCTAACTCTTGAACATCCTAGTTTACACAGAGCTTATAAATTAATGTACTTAAACCTATTAAAAAATGGACAAGGTCAACAAAAACTTGTTTACTTATTTTTATATCATTTTTAAGTACTGTTATGAGTCCTAATCTAGAAAATTATTTTATATTGATAGCATTTAACGTAGGTTATTGCATATTAACTGTGTAGCTGACACTGTGCTAAGTGTCACATACATATATGTACAATATTTTATGTAGTGCTCATAGTAATTCCATCTATTAGAGAATACTATCTCAGTTTTGAAGTTGAGGAAAAAGAACACTATAAACCCAGAGTTCATATATGTAGGAACCAGGATTGTACTCAGTCCAAATTCCAAGGAATATATATTTAATTTGCAATTGTTGAGTGGGCTTTATATTTATCCACCTATTTATCTATCGATTCCTCCATTCATATATTCCAAAATCATTTATGGCATATTGATTGTATGATAAGAACCATGTTCAAAACTGGGGGCAGGGAAGAAAAATAATCTTGGTTTCTGACATTAAGAAGAACACCAGTCACAGAGAAGCACATGAAATGATGATTATTGTAACACATTGACATGATGACACTGTGCTAATATATAAACAGCAATCATTTTTCAATAGTACTTTCTACAACATATTCATTTCACATTATGTCAAAACATGTGGGAAACTGGCTACCACATTCCCATTTTAGGGACTGTTATTTCAGATGTGACTGTTATAGACCTTTGTGAAATAAACCCTCTAGATGATTCCTTAAATGATTTGTTCTGGGAACCCCCGTATTTTCATAAATCTCATTAATATTCTAGGGAATTCATTTCTCATGGAACTATCTCAAAAAAAAATCTCAACTAGGAATACCTGTTGTTACGTGATAGTTAACACTCTGTCTACTGCCAAGAAACAGTTTGAAAATAAAATTCCTTATGGCATAGCCTGAAAGTAAACTTCGTGATGCTGTCAGATCCATGAAATGCGTAAAAATAAACAAGTATGAATTGAGCATCTAATACATTCCAGTTTCTGTACTAAGTGGTTATAATAATAAAAATAATAATAATATCTCTGCCATCAAGATTCTTAAATCTCATTGAGAAAGTGAGCCCATAAACATAATTTTAAAATAGTATGCTGAGTGAATGTGATAGAGAAAGCATACTACAGGAACAAGTATACCAATGAAAAAGATAGCTCTTTACCAGTTAAGGGAGGGTTCAAAGCAACCTCTTCAAATCCAATTGCTTGTTTCCATTATAAAATCTGTCTTCTTACTATTTCTTACTAACTACTTTGCTATAGAAGTAGACTGATAGTTCTCTTTTCTATTCTGAAATGTAATGTAAAGGAGAAATAAGGGGAACAGAATAAAAATTACATAATAGGCATTTCAATAGAAAAATACTCAGGAGGAATTATTATTACGGATCAAAACTTCCACTTCTGTTTTCTCTAACAATGGAGGGCAGGGTGTTTGTGAATTGAGATCACTTTAAAGAGAATTATAGTCTAATTTGGTTACTGAAAATGAAGGTAAATATACATTTGTTATTGAAAAAGGTGTATCAATTTTTTAATATGTGTTAATACTTGAAAGTATATTGTCCAAGGTTAATCTGGTCATGGGGAAAGATACTCCAAGTATTTTTTCCAG